ATCTGTCCAGGGCTCAGTGATTAGAAACAGAGGTCAGTGGTCAGGATCAGAGCTTGGTTACCAGAAATAGGGCCCAACAATGAGGATCAGGGTTCAGTGATAAATACCAGGGTTCAGTGATCAAAAGTAGGACTGAGTGATTAGAATCAGGGCCCAGTGATCAGGACCAGGACTGGATGATCAGCACCAGGACTCAGAAGTCAAGAGCAGAGCCCATCGATCAGGACCAGGATTCAGGGACCAGAACCAGGGACTATTGGTCAGAACCAGAGCCCAGTGATTGGGAACAAGACCCAGTGATGAGGGCCAGGGCTCAGTGGTCAGGACCAAGATTCAGGGATAAGAACAGGACCCAGTGATCAGGACCAGGGCACAGTGATCAGGGCCAGAGCTAAAAATCAGGACTGGTACCCAGTGATCAGGACCAGGGCTCAGTGATCATAACTAGGGCTCAGTGATAAGACCAGGACTGAGTGACCAGGACCAGGGCCCAGTGATCTGGTCCAGGGCCCAGTGATTAGGACCAGGGCTCAGTGATGAGGGCCAGAGCTCAATGATCAGGACCAGGACCCAGTGATCAGGACCAGGGCTCAGTGATTGACTACTGACTAGGACCAGAGCTCAGTTATTGAGTGTTGACTGGGACAAGGGCTCAGTGGTGAGGACCAGAGCATAGTTAGCAGGACCAGGGCCCAGTGATCAGGGCCAGGGCTCATTGATCCAGAACATTGCCCAGTGATCAGGATCAAGACTCAGCAATCCAGCCGGGACTGAGTTATTAGGACCAGAGCCTAGTGATCCAGACTAGGGCTCAGTGATCATGACCAGGGCCCAGTGATCAGGACCAGAATTGAGTGATCAAGTCTAGGACTCAGGGATCAGGACCAAGACTGAGTGATCAGGACCAAGACTCAGTAATCAGGACCAGGGCTCAGGGGTAAGGACCAGAGCACAGTTAGCATGACCAGGGCCCAGTGATCAGAAACAAGGCCCTTTGATCAGGGCCAGGGTTCATTGATCAGGAGCAGGGTTCAGTGATTAGGATCAGGGCTCAGTAATCAGGACCAGGGCCCAGTGACCAGGATCAGGGTCTAATAATCAGGACCAGGGCTGAGTGATCAGGTCTAGGGCTGAGTGATGAGGACCAGGATGGAGTGATCAGGACCAGTGCTGTGTGATCTGGACCAGGACTGAGTGATCAGGACCAGGGCTGTGTGATCTGGACCAGGGCTGAGTGACCAGGACCAGGGCTGAGTGATCAGGACCAGGGCTGAGTCACCAGGAACAGGGCTGAGTGATCAGGACCAGGGCTGAGTGACCAGGACCAGGGCTGTGTGATCTGGACCAGGGCTGAGTGGCCAGGACCAGGGCTGAGTGATCAGATTCAGGGTCAAAAACAGGAGTAGGACTCAGTGATCAGGACTAAGGCTCAGTGATCAAGGCTAGAATTGAGTGATCAGGAACAGGGCCCAAGTAGTAGGACCAGAGCTCAGTGATCGGTAAAACGGCCCACTGGTCAGGACCAGGGCCCTGTGATCAGGATGAGGACCCAGTGAGGAGGACTAGGGCTGTCTAGGTTATGGGGAACAGGGATCCCACATAGTTCTTGGGAGCAGGCTTCTTTGCCATGGTCTCTGGTGAATCCAGCATTCATCCTTGGGCCTCAGCCTCATGCAAGATCAGGTTGTTTCTTGATTTTGGGACTAGGGGTACCCTCTGTCCATGCCTACCATGACCACCATGACACCCAGGGGGACTTTGAAGCAGGCGTTCTCCGGTCTAAAGCCACCACCCTTTCCCTGACCCCCATCTCCTCATTCAGAGTCTGTGAACATTTTCCTTGGGACCACTTTATTGCACCTGGAAGGGATGTGCGTAAGGGCGGGTAGGTGATTTCTGAAAGGGCTGAGTTCTGGCAAGCATAGCTGGCTTCTCCAAGAGGTTCCTCCACACTTCTTCCCTGCAAAGACAGAGGGGTCACAGCCTGAAGGAGCAGCACCCTTGCCAATGCCCTCTGTCCTAGCCCTGGCCTGGCTCATGGGAGCCTGGATGGAATCCTGGTTACTGTACTGGAGGGAAGCTCAGCCCTGACCCTGGGCCTGCCTGTGTGGTCAGTGTCTGTGAAGGGCCCCCCAGGAGAGCATGTGCCCCCACAGTGGGAGCAGGTGGTGCTCTCCTCACAGCCAAGCACTGCAGCCCACCCCATCCACTGTGGGCTCATCCCTCTCCTGGGCTCCTACCTGTGCCTTGCTGGCTCCTGCTCAGTACTGGGGGCCCTCCCTGTTGCCAGATGGACCCCGGACGCTGGTCACGGTCAGTGCTGTGCTATAGAACAGGCTCAGCAGGAAGAGGGTGAGGAAGGTGATGGTGGTGGGCCACAGGTTGGCACCAGGGGTCTCCTCCTCCAGGGTCTCCTGCGGCAAGTCCAGCACCACATAGGGAGGCAGCATCTGCCAATCTGTAACACAGCAAGAGCCTTCCAGGCCCAGACTCATGTGAATAGTGGGTATGCTTCCTTGGGGTCTGGGGACAGTGGGGTCTGGGTCCCCATCTAAGGCCTGAGACTCCCCCAGGGAGGATGAGGAGGCAGGGTCCCAGGTGAGGGGCTGGGACTTTCTGTCTTTGAGGTTCTTAGGGCACTTCAGGGAGAGACTCAGCAGGGCAGAAAGTGGACACCATCTGCTTCTCCAAGGGTAGTTTGAGCCCAAGGTACCCTCCCACCCCCGCACCCCCCCACCCCACCCCCCACTCCCCCACTCCCCACTCCCACCCCATCTCAGTCCCAGCCACGTATTCAGTGACTGGGTCCTGGGGCCAGAGAGGACCAGATACACCCACCCTCAGGGATATCTGGATCCAAGACGGAGACCTGGGTCTGACATTCAGTGTGCCAAAGATTGAATGGGCAAGACCAGAGGCCTCTGTTGCCTTCCCAGGGAATGTGGCTGAGGGGTTACAAGGGAGGGCCAGGTGAGGGCTACCAGCACAGGCATTCTTATTTTCCTCAGGGTCTCAGGGCATAGACCTCCCTTGTACAGCTGTACCTGCTTGTCATATGCTGATACATCCAGTCATTCACCTATCTTTCTATCCTTCCGTCCATCTATCCATCCATCCATCTACAAAGCTATTATCTGTATCTCCACCCCTCCATCGATAACACTCTTACCCACTCACCCATCCATTCATCCTTCTTTCATCTATTAATATAAGGCTATCATTTAAATATCCACCCATATATCTATAAAGCTATTTTCCATCCATTCATCCTTCTTCCATCGATCCATCCGTCCACCCATCCATCTATAAAGCTGTTTTCCATCCATTCACTCATCCATCCATAAAGCAATTCTCCATCCATTTGTCTTCCATCCACCTATCCTCCATAGATCTACCCACCCATCTATCCTCAATCCTCCATCCATCCATCCGTGCTCCATTCACCCCTCCATCTATCTTCCATCCTCCATCCACCCATCCATCCTCCATCTGCCCACCCATCCATCATCCATCCATCCATCCATCCATCCATTCATCTCCCATCCTTCATTCATCCACTCATCCATCCTCCATCCACCCGTCCACCTATCCTTCATCCATCCATCCATTATATATCCATCCGTCCACCCTCCATCAGCCATTTACCCACCCATCCATGTTACCACCCATCCATCCTCCATCTACCAATCCCCATCCGCCCATCCATTCATTATATGTCCTAGGATCTACCCATGTGTCTGCCTGATCTCTGTCTGCTGGTTCAGCCCCTCATCTATTGATTCTCCCTCTTTCCCTGTCTCTTTAAAAGCCCCTCCTCTGGGCCAGGTCCTGGGTCCCATGGGCTGGAAGGCTTCTCTGTGGCAGGGCTTCCTTGGGTGACCTGTTGCTCTCATCCTCTGGTGACTGGACCCTCAAGGGTGACAGTAACCTCCAACTCACCTTGGCCCTGAGAGCAGAGAGGCAGCCAGAAGGCGGGGGTGCCTGGGGAGGCCCGGAAGACGTCTAAGGCAAGAGCAGGGGCCCCACTGCCCCCTTGTGGGAGTCCTGGTGCCAGGTGTCCCCACAGTGGTTGTGGCACAGTTCTTCCACTCCTGGGAGCCCCAAGCAGAAGCCAGAGACATGCAGAGGGGCCCTGGGCAGGCCCTGTTTCACTGGCCTGCTTCTGATGCTACCCCACGCGGCCCCTCCCTGTCTATGCTTACAGTCCTAGTTGGGCTTAGGAAGGGATGGGAGACTTGGCCAGGCAGGGAGCAGGGGCTGCCTGGGAGGGGATCTGTGGAGTTGGTCCCTGAGCTGTGCACAGTGGAAACACAGGGAGGCCAGAGGGGCCTGGGGCAGCAGGCTGAGCCTGGGAATGCCCGCTGGGGGCTTGGGAGGGGACTCCCCTGGCTTTTCTGGAGCTGGGTCTGGGCTGTGAATGCTCTGCTCCTGCAGGGCTCAGGCGTATATGTGGGTGTGAGTGTGCACGTGTGTCCGTGTGCCCCGTACAGAGCAGTGTGGTTAAGGGGAGGTGCCCCTTTCTGTATGTGTCAGTGGGGACATCCTGAGGCCGGGGCCCTCCTGGAGCTTGTCCTCCCAGGGGGGCCCTGGAGTCCAGCCCCTCACTCCCTCGCTGCTCCTCCCACTACCTGCCTCTTTCTCGGCCAGCCTGCTCTTCTCACACTCTCTATTCCCTCCCAGCTGCAGCCAGAGGCAGCTCTCTCAGGGACAAACGGCCATGCCGCTGCCCACTCAGAACTCTCCGGGGCATGTGCGTCTCTCAGAACCCACCCTGGGCGGTGCCTGCCTTGGCAGACCTAAGATTTCACACCAGCGAGGCCTCCTGCACCACACACTCTGACACTCACAACTCACACTCACACCAGGGTGGAAAGGCTCACAGGGGTGCCAGGGCCCCCCGAGGCTCAGGGCAGGGGTGTTCTTCCCTCTCTGTGCCCCGGCCCTTTCCCACGTGCTGAGACCCTGAGGATGGATAGAGGCGCCGGATGGAAGCGTGGGGCTGCTTGGGGGAGCATGGAGTTTATTCAGGGGTGGGGACAGGCAGGCGGCTCAGTAGCAGGTGCCGTCCACTTCCGCCATGACCACAGACACATTGACGTGGGTGGGTTTACCCGCCAGGCGGTCGATGGTCTTCTGTGTGAAGGCCAGCGGCAGGGCCTCGTGGCCCACCATGCAGGAGAAGGTGTCCCCCTTCTTCCAGTCCTCGGCTGCCACGCGCAGTATGCTGGTCACGGCGAAGGTGGTGGTGCCCTGGCTGGGCTCCTTCCGGGATTCCCAAGTCAGGTACTTGTCACGGGGCAGCTGCTCTGTTCCCTTCAGCCAGCGAACCAGCACGTCCTCGGGGCTGAAGCCTCGTGCCAGGCACGTCAGTGTCACCAGCTCGTTCAGGGCCAGCTCCTCCGACGGCGGCGGCAGCAGGTGGACCTCGGGCCGAAATGTGTTTTCTGGAGGGTAGAGAGCCAGGTCAGGGGCTGGGCAGGGGATGAGAGAGCCTCTACTGCTCTGGTGGGCACCCCGGGCTGTGTCCTGGCCCCCTCAGCCTGCCTCAGTTTCCCTCTGCACTTGGCATGAGCACCCAAGCCCAGGACTGGGAGGGAGGAGGCAGGCCGGGAATATGCTTTGCAAACCAGAGCCCCGAGCAGGGTCTGGACCCACCGGATTTTGAGATGGTGGCAGTTAGCTGGGTCTTCAACTCAGGGTGATTAGCAGTGCAGGTGAAGGTCACCCTATTGTTCCATGGCTCAGCACAGCCGGGCAGGACACTGGACACACTGTAGCAGCCACAGGGGTCACGCTCAGGTGACTGTTGGACAGCGTTCTTCCCACTTGAGGGCGTCCAGGTGAAGGTGGCACCCGAGGGATCTCTCAGGCCGGTCAGTGTGCACGTGAGGTTTGCCTCGGAACCTAGGAGCAGGTCCTCGAGGGCTGGTCGGCGCAGTGACAGTCGGGGTTCATCACATAAGCAAGAGTTGGGTTTGGGAACTGCAGTGGAGAGATGGCCTGAGCTGGTCAGCACGCCCTTCCCCGTGCCCCCGCCTTGCCCCTCCTGGCCTGTCTACCACCACCTCCTGGGGCTCGGCCCGCAGTCCACTCTGGTGTGAGTGAAGGGGTGGCTCCCTGTGGGGAACACAGGTCCAGGCGCAGTGTCAGGGCAGGCTGGGGTGGCCCCGCCCCACTCCCCAGCCTGCCCTCTAACCGCAGGGCACGGCCACATCCTGGCTGGGATTCGTGTAGTGCTCCACGTGGCATGTCACGGACTCGCTGGCTGGGCACTGTGCGGCTGGCAGGGTCAGCTGGCTGCTCGTGGTGTACAGGCCCCCGGAGGCGTCCTGGCTGGGCGGGAAGTTTATGACGGTCACACCCGCTCCGCTTTTGTTCCAGGTCACGTTGAGTGGCTCCTGGGGGAAGAAGCCCTGGACCAGGCAGGCGACGACCACGTTATCTGACTGGGTGCCCTCGAGGCTCAGCGGGAAGACCTTGGGTTTGGTCGGGGATGCTGGAACACAGAATGCGCTGTGAGGACGTGGCCCTCATGCCATGTCCCCAGGAGAACAGGCTGTGCCTGCCTCTCCTCTACACTGGAGGAACCCAGCACAGAGAGGCCCGGTGACGGCCCCAAGGTCACACAGCTCCTGCACCACAGGCCTGCATTTGGACCTGGCTGTCTGATCCCAGCGACACGGTTTCTGAACATGCTCCTCAGATAGGGCCTCTGACCCAGGCCATCCCAGACACAAGTTGTATTAAACAGGGCTCTGCTATGGAGTGGCCGAGTCCCCTGAGCTCCCTGACTGCAGCTCCTGCTCTGGGTGGGGGACATATCTTGCTCTCTCCCCTGAAGCTAGAGAGAATCTTGGCGGGGGCTCTGAGGAGGTAGCCTGGGCTCTGAGTACTGTGTGCTTGGGGTAGGGGTGGGACGGCTTGGCTGTGACCCCACCTCCCTGTCCCCAGTCAGGGTCTCAGTCCAACACCCACCACTCCACGAGCCCCACCCCAGGCCCAAACAAGCCACAGTGGACCCCTGTGGCCTATGAGGTCTCAGGACCAGAGGCCAACAGGCTAACCCATGTCCCCGCCAGGCCCTCCAGGGCAGGGCCTGCTACACCGGGGAGCTCTGGGCCGGGGAGCTCTGGGCCGAGCCCATTCCAAATTTCCTTCAGGCAATGGGCAAGAGGAAAGACAGAATCATGGTGCAACAGAGCTGCATGGCCCTCAGAACCCTAAGAACACAGCTGCATGGTCCTCAGAACCCTAAGAACACAGCCAGGCTCAGGGCTCTGCAGGTGGAGTCACACTCAACCCACAGCCTCCTTCCCACATTAGCAGCCACCTCAGCCCATCCAGCCCAGCCCAGGCCAGTCCAGCTCAGTCCAGTCCAGTCCAGCCCAAGTCAGCCTAGCTTAGCTCAGCCCAGCTCAGCTCAGCCCAGCTCAACCCAGGTCAGCCCAGCTCAACCCAGGTCAGCCTAGCCCAGGACAGCCTAGCTCAGTACAGCCTGGCTCAGTACAGCTCAGCTCAGCTCAGCTCAGCCCAGCCCAGCCCAGTCTAACCCAGTCCAGCCCAACCCAGCTCAGCTGAGCTCAGCCAAACCCAGCTCAGCTCAACCCAGCTCAGCTTAGCCCAGCTCAGTCCAGCCCAGTCTAGCTCACCCCAGCCTGGTTCCAGGTCAACCCAACCCAGCTCAGCCCAGCCCAGCTCAGCTCAGCTTAGCCCAGCCCAGCCCAGCTCAGTCCACCTAAGCTCACCCAGCTCAGCCCAGTCCAGCCCAGCCCAGCCCAGTCCACCTAAGCTCACCCAGCCCAGCTCAGCCCAGCCCAGCCCAGCCCAGCTCAGCTCAGCCCAGCTCAGCTCAGCCCAGCCCAACCCAGCCCAGCCCAGCTGAAACCAGCCCAGCTTAGCTCAGTCCACCTAAGCTCACCCAGCTCAGCCCAGTCCAGCTCAGTCCAGCTCAGCCCAGCCCAGCCCAGCCCAGCCCAGCCCAATCCAGCCCAATCCAGCCCAATCCAGCCCAGCCCAGCCCAGCCCAGCTCAACTCAGCCCAGCCCAGCCCAGCTCAGTCCACCTAAGCTCACCCAGCTCAGCCCAGCCCAGTCCAGCTCAGCTCAGCTCAGCCCAGCCCAGCCCAGCTCAGTCCACCTACGCTAACCCAGCTCAGCTCAGCTCAGAACAGCCCAGCTCAGTCCACCTAAGCTCACCCAGCTCAGCCCAGTCCAGCTCAGCTCAGCTCAGCTCAGCCCAGCCCAGCCCAGCCCAGCTCAGCCCAGTCTAGCTCAGCCCAACCCAGCTCAGCACAGTCCAGGTCAGTCTAGCTTAGCCCAGCCCGGCCCAGTCCAGCTTAGCTCAGCTCAGACCGACTCAGCCCAGCTTAGCTCAGCTCAGCCCAGCCCAGCCCAGCCCAGCTCAGCCCAGCCCAGCCCCACCGGGTCCAGCTCAACCCAGCCCAAGCTTAGCCCAGCCCAGCCCAGCTTAGCCTAGCCCAGCTGAACCCGGCTCAGCCCAGGTCAACCCAACCCAGCTCAGCTCAGTCTAGCTCAGCCCAGCCCAGCTCAGCCCAGCCCAGCTCAGCCCAGTGTAGCTCAGCTTAGCCTAGCTCAGCTCAGGTCAGCCCAGTCCAGCTCAGTCCACCTAAGCTCACCCAGCCCAGCCCAGCCCAGCCCAGCTCAGCCCAGCCCAGCTTAGCCTAGCCCAGCTGAACCCAGCTCAACCCAGGTCAACCCAAACCAACCCAGCTCTGCTAAGTCTAGCTCAGCCCAGCCCAGCTCAGCCCAGTTCAGTCCAATCTAGCCCAGTTCAGCTCAGCCCAACCCAGCTCAGTCCAGCCCAGCCCAGCTTAGCCTAGCCCAGCTGAACCCAGCTCAGCCCAGGTCAACCCAACCCAGTTCAGCTCAGCCTGGGTCAACTCAACCTAGCCCAGCTCAGCCCAGTCTAGCTCAGCCCAGCCCAGCTCAGCACAGTCCAGGTCAGTCTAGCTCAGCTCAGCCTAGCCCAGCCCAGCCCAGCCTAGCTCAGTCCAGCCTAGTCCAGCCCAGTCCAGCCCAGCCCAGCCCAGCCCAGCCCCGCCGGGTCCAGCTCAACTCAGCTCAGCTCAGCTCAGCCCAGCCAAGTCCAGCCCAGCCCAACTCAGCCTACCCCAGCGCAGCCCAGCCCAGCTCAGCTCAGCCCAACCCAGCCCAAGCTCAGCCCAGCCCAGCTTAGCGTAGCCGAACTGAACCCAGCTCAACCCAACCCAACCCAGCTCAGTCCAGCCCAGTTGGGCCCAGTGTAGCTCAGCTTAGCCTAGCTCAGCCCAGCCCAGCTCAGCCCACCTCAGCCCAGCCCAGCCCATCCCAGCTCAGCCCAGCCTAGCCCATCCCAGCTCAGCCCAGCCCAGCCCAGCCCAGCTCAGCCCCAGCCCAGCCTAGCTCACCCCAGCCTGGTTCAGCTCAGCTCAGCTCAGCCCATCCCAGTCCAGCTCAGCTCAGCTCAGCTCAGCCCAGCCCAGCTCAACCCAGCTCAGCTCAGCCTAGCCCAGCCTAGCTTAGCCCAGCCTAGCTCACCCCAGCCTGGCTCAGCCCAGCCCAGCCTGGCTCAGCCCAGCCCATCCCAGTCCAGCTCAGCTCAGCCCAGCCCAGCTCAGCTCAGCTCAGCTCAGCCCAGCCTAGCTCAACCCAGCTCAGCTCAGCCCAGCCCAGCCTAGCTCAGCCCAACCTGGTCCAGTTCAGCCTGGCTCAGCCCAGCCCAGCTCAGCTCAGCTCAGCTCAGCTCAGCCCAGCTCAGCCCAGCTCAGCCCATCCCAGCCCAGCTTAGTCCACCTAAGCTTACCCAGCCCAGCCCAGCCCAGCCCAGCCCAGCCCAGCCCAGCCCAGTCCAGCGCTCAGCTCACCCCAGCCCAGCTCAGCTCAGCCCAGTCCAGCCCAGCCCAGCCCAGTCCAGCCTCAGCCTCAGCTCAGCCCAGCTCAGCTCAACCCAGCTCAGCCCAGTCCAGCCCAGCCTAGCTCAGCCCAACCTGGTCCAGTTCAGCCTGGCTCAGCCCAGCCCAGCTCAGCTCAGCTCAGCTCAGCTCAGCCCAGCTCAGCCCAGCTCAGCCCATCCCAGTCCAGCTCAGCTCAGCCCAGCCCAGCTCAGCCCAGCCCAGCTCAGCCCCAGCCCAGCCCAGCCCAGCTCAGCTCAGCCCAGCCCAGCCCATCCCAGCTCAGCTCAGCTCAGCCCAGCTCAACTCAGCCCAGCCTGGTCCAGCCCAGCCTGGCTCAGCCCAGCAGCTCAGCTCAACTCAGCCCAGCTCAGCCCAGCTTAGTCCACCTAAGCTTACCCAGCCCAGCCCAGCCCAGCCCAGCCCAGCCCAGCCCATCCCAGTCCAGCTCAGCTCAGCCCAGCCCAGCTCAGCTCAGCCCAGCCCAGCTCAGCTCAGCCCAGCTCAGCTCAGCCCAGCTCAGCCCAGCCTAGCTCAACCCAGCTCAGACCATCCCAGTCCAGCTCAGCTCAGCCCAGCCCAGCTCAGCCCAGCCCAGCTCAGCTCAGCCCAGCCCAGCTCAACCCAGCTCAGCTCAGACCATCCCAGTCCAGCTCAGCTCAGCCCAGCCCAGCTCAGCCCAGCCCAGCTCAGCTCAGCCCAGCTCAACCCAGCTCAGCTCAGCCCAGCCCAGCCTAGCTCAGCCCAACCTGGTCCAGTTCAGCCTGGCTCAGCCCAGCCCAGCTCAGCTCAACTCAGCTCAGCTCAACTCAGCCCAGCTCAGCCCATCGCAGTCCAGCTCAGCTCAGCCCAGCCCAGCTCAGCTCAGCCCAGCCCAGCTCAGCCCAGCCTAGCTCAGCCCAGCCCAGCTCAGCCCAGCCTAGCTCAGCCCAGCCCAGCTCAACTCAGCTCAGCTCAGCTCAACTCAGCCCAGCTCAGCCCAGCTTAGTCCACCTAAGCTTACCCAGCCCAGCCCAGCCCAGCCCAGCCCAGCCCAGCCCAGCTCAGCCCAGCCCAGCTCAGCCCAGCTCAGCCCAGCCCAGTCCAGCTTAGGCCAGCCCAGCCTAGCTCAGGCCAGATCAGCTCAGCCCAGCCTAGCTTAGCACAGTCCAGGTCAGCCTAGCTCAGCCCAGCCCAGCCCAGCCCAGCCCAGCCCAGTCCAGCTCAGCTCAGCCTGACTCAGCCCAGCTCAGCTCAGCCCAGCCCAGCCCAGTCCAGCCCAGTCCAGCCCAGCCCAACCCAGCCTGGTCCAGTCCAGCTCAGCCCAGCTCAGCCTCAGCCCAGCTCAGCCTCAGCCCAGCCTAGCTCAGCCCAGTCCCGCCCAGCTCAGCCCAGCCCAGTCCAGCTCAGCCCCAGCCCAGCCCAGTCCAGCTCAGCCCCAGCCCAGCCTCAGCCCAGCCCAGCCTCAGCCCAGTCCAGCTCAGCCCAGCCTCAGCTCAGCTCAGCCTAGCCCAGCTCAGCCCAGTTCAGCTCAGCCCCGTCCAACCCAGCCTAGCTCAGCCCAGGGCAGCCCAGGGCAGCCCACATGGACGTGTATCAACTGGCTCCAGGTCATCTTCTCCTCTGCCCTCTGGCTCGGCTCAGCCTAGGCCTCAGCTCAGCCATGAAAGCTGTTCACCTTGTATCCTAGGAAGGGCTGGGTCATCCCAGTTTAGGCCTGGCCAGCCTGGCTTAGCCCCAGTGCCAGATCCTTCCTGCCCGGTTAGGAAGTCTTGTCCTGTGGTTCCAGAGTCTCTGTGGTGGCCTCTTTTGTCCTTCCCTCTTATCTTGGTGCCTGTTATCCACCTTTTGCTTCCAGAAGGGGCCAGGACCAGCCTGGCTGGACTCTTCAGTGTGCAGAGGAGGAGATGCAGGCCTGGAGACCTCCAAGACCTACCTGGTCAGGCTGTTGGAGGACCCACCGGGCTGAGTGGGTGGCCTCTGGTGTGCAGGCCGTCATGGCAGGTGCACCCTCACAGGCGTGTGGCCAAGAGGGGCTGCTGTGGGGAGGGTGCCCAGGCCCGGCCCAGGCCCTGCCCTGATGGCTGTCTGTCCTTAGCAGACCCCTGCTCCGCCGCTCTGCCTGTGTCCACAGATGTGGCTGGATGCTGAGGGGCTGGAGGGGAGGGCCTGCATGCCTGTATGTCTGGCCTACAGATGGGGTCACTCGCCCACTTCCTGCCCCAGCAGACACGGCCGTGCAGCTCCACGTCATGTCTGGTCTGTGGTCTGGCTGTGGTGGGGCCAGGTGTGTATGGCCAGGGCTCTGTGACCCCACCGGCCATGGAGCTTCACGGCTCCACATGGCTCCACAGGGCGGGGTGGGGGCCACAATTCAGGGAAACAGGAACAGACACGGCTGGAGGCTCAGAGACCCTGAGACAGAGATGGCAAAGGGGAGACACAGGGCCAGAGAGGGTCCCCCACCACCCGCAGGGAAAGGGCGCCTGTGAGTGGACCCCCGGTGAGGGGCCTTGGGGCCTCAGGGCGGGCATGCGGCTGGGGAGAGTGAGTCTTGCGCTGCTGGGTTGGAGCCACTCCGGCCTGGCCTCCCTCAGCCTGCCCCACGGGCCACGGGGGGTCCCAGACTGCAGCCCAGGGTGGGGGCATGGGGGGCACCCCGTCTCCTAGCTGCAGCCCTGCAGGTCAGGTTGGCCAAGGTGCCTGCTCTACCCTGTCCAGCGCTGCCCAGGTGGCACTCCTACTGTGGATCACTGGGGAGCTGGCCGTGGCGTTGGAGAGATCCCGCCAGCGACGCTGGTCCTGGAGTCAGGGGAGGCCAGCTCTTTCTGGGGGCTCGGGTGGCACTGGCAATGGGAGGCCAGGGGCGCTTCACAGAGGAGCTGCTGCCGCGGAGTCCTGGAAAGTGTGGGCGTGAATGGAAGATGCCCTGGCCATGGCGCCGGGCTGCCCCAGCAGAGGCTATCGGGTGAAATCCAGCGAGTGTCAGTGAGGCTGGATCAGGGCAGGTGGGGGGCAGGGGAGGAGGGAGGTAGCCTGGGGCTGCCCCAGGGTCCTGGGAAGACACACCCTGGTGGTTCAAGGAAGCTCTGGAGCTTGTTATGAACCTTGGGATGCCCCAGCCCTCACCAGCGGGACGTGGCTGCTGTGTCTTAGTCATTTCTGGCTGCAATAACAAAAATACCATAGACGGGTGGGTTCATCAGCAACATTCATTTCTCACAGTTCTCGAAGCTGGAAGTTCAACGTCAGGATGGCAGCAGGGTCAAGTTCCAGTAAGGGCCGCTTCCTGGTTCACAGACCCCCATCTTTTCGCTGTGTCCTCGGGTGGCAGAAAGAGGGCAGGGCTGCTGTCTGCGGTCCCTTTTCTTTAGGGTCTCTAGTGAGATTAGGGAACGAATCACATTTTTGAGGGTTCCCCCCTCAGGCTCTAACCACCTCCCCAAGGCCCCAGCTCTGCATGCTGTCACTCTGGGATTAGGGCTGGCACACATGAGTTTTGGGCAGACACAGATGCTCAGTCCATAGCACTGCCCCTGTCGGCCTCTGCCTCTCCCCATCCCTGTGTCTCCTCGTCTGTCTCCAGCTAGGACACTTGTCCTTGGACCTGGCCCCCTTGATAATCCAGGGTGCCCTCACCTCGAAATCCTTGATAATCCAGGGTGCCCTCACCTCGAAATCCTTGATAATCCAGGGTGCCCTCATCTCGAAATCCTTACCTTGATGGGATCTGCAAAGGCCCTTTTGACAAATAATGCCGCACTCAATGGCCCCAGGGGCCAGGATGTGGCTCTATCTTTTGGGGTCCATGGTTGTACCCACCGGTGGGTTAATAGGGGAATAAAGAGGGGGATGGAGGAACCCGGAGACGGCATCCTCTTGCTTCCAGGAGGCCAGGCCATGTGGAAGGCAGGGGCACTATTCTGAGCCTGGGTGTGAATCCAGGCCTCTGCCCTCCCCACGGGCCCCGTCTGTCTCCTCTACGTGGGTGCTCATCTCGCCTTCCTCTCCGGCCTTTGAGGGGGAGTTTTCTGTGTGTGAGGATATCTGCCACACAGTGGGGCAGCGAGCTGGCTCCTTGTTGCCCTTGCTGTGGGGCCATGGGGGTCTCGTGATCTAGAGTGAGGGCAGAGAAAGGAGTCACTGAGCCCTGCCCGCTGGAGGGGCTCCCGGTCCAGGGGACCTTGGCTGCGGAGGGCCGGTCTGCTGTAGGAGACACGGGTGTGCGAGACCCTGGGCTGGTGATGGGGTGGACTGAGGGCCTGGCTTCCTGAGACTGTGTGTGTGTTGGTGTGAGCATGCCCGAGCGTGTCAGCATGTGTTTGTGAGTGCATGATTGGTGTGTGAGTGCAAATGTGTAGGAGAGGTTGAGTCTGTGTGTGTGAACCTGTGTGTTTTTGCATGTGCGAGTGTGTGCCTGTGTGTGTGTCTGTGAACGAGGGAGTGTGTGAGGAGAGCTGGGCAGTGGCTGTAGCCTTGGCCATGTCCTGTGACGCCCCCTCCTCTGGTGTTGTTTGGACCCAGTCGGCCTCAGCACTGCCTACTTTGGGGTTTTCTACCCCATAGGGAGCTGTCGCTCCTCACCTTCTCCCCTGTGCCCAGCTGCTCTGAGGTCCCAGTGGAGGACAGGGCGGGGGACCCAAGTGCTGCTGTCAGACTGTGGCAGGCTTGCTTCATTCCGTTTTGTGCCAGACTCCATGTGATGTGGGTCTCCTGGCACAGAGCGAGGCTCTCCCTGTGGAGCCATCACTGTGAGAGGACTCTTGCATTGGGGCATTTTGCCAACTTGCCCTAAAAAGTGGTCTTAGCAATTCACGTGCCCTCAGTCAGGGCCAAGAAGCACCTCCACCCTCTTCATCCCTTCCTCCTTACTTTCACTTTTCTAATTGTTAAAATGAGTTCTTTGTATTATTGGCCACTGGATTTTTCCTTTCCATGAAGAACCTATTGCTCACCTTTCTTCTTATTGATCCCTGAGTGCTCTTTGTATATGAGGGAACCCTGCCCTTTGTCATGCCTATTATGTATTCTCTCCCATTTTTAGGATATTGTGGACACCCTTGTAAGCAGGCCTCTCCAGCCAGGGAAGCTGCATGTTTGCCCTGAGGCCAGGTATGGGTCATGCCCACCTGTGACCCCGATGGTTCTGGGGCCCTAGCCTGCTCCTGTGTCATCTCTCAGCTCTTCAGGAGGTCCAGGCTGGTGGGCGGCTGTGGGATGGGGAGTCAACTTTGTCTGTGCTCAGTGAGTGGTGGATCAGGGCGTGAGGCCAGTGGTCCTGGGGGCCACCACCAGCCTCCACCTTGGTGACTGTGCAGCCACATTCTTGGGGCCTCCTGCGCTGACCACAGCATGGGCCCCTCTTCTGGTTTTGCCCACAAAGGGGTTGATGTTGATTGTTGCTTTGACTTTACCTGAGAAGAGGCATGATTCTGGGCTGGAGACCAGCAGACCAGGTATGACAGGGCTGAGCTGGGGAGTCTCTGGGGTGCTGAGGGGTGATTGAGGGGAACCACTGCTTGGACACTTTGGCTCTCAGGACCCCAGAATGGCCCCTGCCCTTCCTTCCCCTCTGGCTCCTCCTCCACATCCTCAGGGGTCCTGCCTCCCACCAGCCACTCCAGGGCCACAGACACCTCCCAAAGAGCACTCTGGAGACGTGGGATTTGTGAAAAGGAACTTTACTAGGAAACCCAGAGGGAAAGAAATAGGACTGCTGAAGCCAGAGGCTGGACGAGGTCACAGGGATGAGGTCAGCAGCTGCTGTCCCTGCAGGAAACCCCTCCTCTGGCTGTGGGAGCCCCTCTACCCACTCCAGGGGCCTGAAGTCCCCAGCAGTCCTGTGGTCTGGCCTCAGAGGGCTTCCCTGTTCCTTCACGCTGCAGGGATGGGGGCTGCGGATGGATGGAGGGGTGGGTGAAGGGAAAGAGGGTAGGTGAGGCCTGGGGGACGGGGATGCCAGGCACTTGGACCTCAGGGGTAGAAGGGTCAGAGCAAGGCTGGGGAGTGAGGCCGTGGGCTGGCGTTGGGCTGGACGCAGACTCAGCTGTGTCCTGGGCTGGGTGCTGGGCCCTCCTTGGCTTTTGGTGATTGTACAGTCAGAATGGGAGTGACCCTGAGACCCAGGGGCCTAGGATGAGCTCAGAACGGCTAGCAGCCACCCCCTCCTCGATGACTCCGTTGAAGGGACGGACACTGTTTCGGGGTGGGGGCTGCGACTGGTGGTTCTGTCGGCACCTTTAACCTTGCGGCTGAGCGGGCCCCTCTGGGCTCAGATTCACTGGCCATCAGCCCACAGTAGTGACCTTGCACCCCCTTTTCTGGTCTGCTTCTCTTTTCCCACCCAGGGCAGGGCACAGCCCGAGGGAGGCTCAGGTGCCGGCAGAGAAGCAGCTAGGCCTGGTGGAACGCGAGTGGCCCGTGGCCTAGGCGTGGGGCTGGAGGATGTTGGTGTAGTCGAGGGAGGTCTGGGTCCTCCCCTGCCGCCTGGCTGAGAGGAACCGCTGCACCTGAGGGGAGGGCGTGGGTCAGGGCGCTCTGCTGGCTCTGCCCAGCCCCCTGCCCTGGCCTGGCCCCTGGAGGTGGGTGCCCACCATGAGGAGTGTGATGGCAGCGCTGTAGCTCACACTGAGCAGGAAGAGTGTGGCGAAGATGCAGAGGCCAGTCCACGTCCACAATGCCTCACTCTCGGCCTCCTCCACGCACACGTCCAGCTCTGGGAGACTTGGCCAGTCAGCCCTCCCGGCTCCACAGTGGCAGCGGTGGTCGGGGACAGAGCCCCTTGCTGCTCTCGGCAGCCCTTGCTGCTGTTCGGAGTGGCAGAGTACCCTATCCGGGGCCCTCTGGGACTGCGCAGAGCCGCCAGCCAACCCTGAGGGTGGGGACCCAGGTCCCGAGTCAGTCAACAGCCCAGGATCAGGCTGACCACTCCTGACCTCTCGTCTGTGGGCCCCCACTCTGGCCCCATTTTCCCTCTGTTCCTTACGGCTTCTCTGGTTACCTCTACTCCACCTCTCTCTAGACCCCACCCCCTCCCCAGAGAAGGACCCAGCCCCTTGGCACAGGAGTGGCCCCTCACTCAGGGCTCTCGGAAGGATGTGTGAGCTCTGCAGCCTGGCTCCCAAGACCTGGGACTCACTGTGTGGGTGCTCTGAGGGGCTGTCCTGGTGTGGACTATGAGCCCAGGCCTGTGGGAGTCCAGAACGGCCTCCTGGCCCAGCCCCGCCTACCAGCCTGGTCCCTCTGGCTCCTCTTGTCCTGGGTCCCCTCCACTCCCTTCCCCAATGCCCTGAGTTGCCTGCTGGTCACGGGCCACCAGCAGGCGCAGGTCCAGCCTCGGCCCCTCACGCCTCTTTCTGCTGCTCCCAGCCCGGAGCTGGGTGCAGGTGGGCCGGGATGTGAGAGTGAAGCTGAGTGCATGGCTGTGATGGTGTGCAGGGACTGTCTTCAGACATGGAGGGGCTTTGTGCTCACGGGGTGCCCGGCGCCTGTGTTTCTGTGTGGATTTGGTGGGTGCTGTGCACTTGGTATGCATGACCACGGGGAGCGTTTGGATCGGGGGTGTCAGATGCACCTGTGGGTTTGAGGCCTGGGAGGGGCATGTAGCCTGCTCTGGGATTCTGGTGTGGGTGACAGGGGGAGTGGGATGGAGCCCAGGTCCTGGGGTGCATCCATCCTGTGTTTGATAGGGTGACAGGGAGGGTTGGACTGGAGGACACCATGTGAGGGCCTCTCCACTTCTGTCTGGGATCCAGCGGCCCAGGCATGACTCAGAGGAAGTGCTTGGGAGTAGCCTGGCTGGAGGCAGCATGGGAGGCAGAGTGTGGGCCACATGTGACCATGTGTGGGATGCCTTTGGCATCCTGGTGGTGGTGCAGGGCGCTGTGGATTTGCTATGGGGCCTGGTACATGCGCAACTGTGCCTTGAGTGGGCGTGACTGGGTGTGACTGGGTGTGTGAGGCTGGCAGTTCCCTGGGGGCCGACTCAGGATGGACTGAGGGGCAGGGGAGGGGCAGTAGGAGAGGGGGCCTGGGTGCTGACCTGGGCCTGGTGTGCCCACAGGGCAGGGTGGCGGAGGCTGTGGGGTGTGAGTGGGCTCGGCCCCACTGGCCCCTGTGCTGGGGCCAGGGCTCTGCAAGGCGGGACAGGGCAGAGAGGCGAACCGCAGTGGCACAGACTCGGGGGAGGGCTATCTGGGGTCCTGTGTGCCTGTGTGGGGGTTTCACTTAGGGCTGTTTTTCCACCTGGAGGGGCCTGTGTGCCCATCTATACCTAGAGGTTCAGGGGCTCCTGTCCAGGGGGGTAGAAGCCAAGTCCCCAAGAGAGAGGGCTGTGGGGGCTAGGCTCCCTTGCCCCCTTCCCTGAGGACCTCTCCTGGGTCTTTGGACTCCTTGGAGGGGGTGAATCCAGAGTAGGGGCAGAGAGGGCCCAGGGTATCTGTGATGAGTCCCTGCAGATACACTGTTTGACAAATACCCCCGACATGAAGACAGATGGATGAAATGGTGCCTCAGCCCTGCCCACCTCCTCCCACCACCTCTCCTGGGGGGACTCAGCCCTGCCCACCTCTTCCCACTGCCCCTCCTGGGGGGCCCATTCCTCTGTGCCAAGATGCCCCTGCCCACAGCCCTGCCCGCTGCCAAGAACGGGTGTACTCAGGGCTCTGAGCAGGCACAGTTTATTGGGGGTGGCTTCCTGGAGTGGT